GTTAACATGGCAACCGACACTACATATTAAGATACAACCACAAAGAACTTATAGTAAACACATTCTGTCACTTCTCCACCCTTATTTATATTCACAGTCACGTTTTTTATGGCAAGGTAGACTACACAAAAGCAAGAGTTAGAGAAAGTAAAGTCTTACTAGGTTATTAATGATTCTTATGTAAAAATTGTCAAATTTTCTTCTCATTTGCATCTCGAAGAGCTTACCATATTTCTCAAAAATTTGTTGTTTGTTCAGTTTTTAGCCTAGTTAAATTTGTACATACTGTTTACTTCGCCTGGGGAATGAAATTTTTGTGTTATTATGGAACAACCCAAAATATACTTATGTACACTTACCTGCGGAGAGTTGAGCTTTCTTAATCTTCACATAAGCAGCTATGACCTGCTTACCAGGTCGATCCGTAATACTTTCAACTATTTCATTTATTGATGGTGATTGCTGCACAACTGAACAAATTATTTTTTATCTTCTGAGGACAATCTTCTGATCCATGGACCACAAACCATATGTGAGCTACAACGTGGATGATTGCGAAACATCTTGAATGACTTTACGTTATATTCTTCACTGTATAAAAATGTACGAAACGTTGATTGGCAGTTCAAAAGCTTAGACCCAAAACGTCATATATTACTCAAAGTTCTCACGTTTTCGATTCCATGTTAAACGTTGTGGAGTACGTTTACGACCACATGTGCACTGAAACACTACAAACGTGTATTTAAACCTCATATCCTTCAGCAATTTACTTTCGAGATGAATGTAGTATGTATGGGTAGTCTGAGAAGGGATGAAATTATTCTTTCCTACTTCTTGTGACCATGCTATTTGGTAACCAGTTGATTCAGGTTGTCAGACCCAGAAATCAAACTATTACAGTATGTCTGTCTCAATGTTAAAATTTCAGTCATGCTCTAACGAGTTTTTATAGTTCAAAAGACGGTAACAGTGAATATTTTTTTTATAATATTTGAACAAACGTTCAAAGTGATGCAGAAGATCATCAGTAGGGGTACTGTAATAAAGAATGGAAATACAAATAGAGATAATGGTACCTGAACGGCAGTTCTTCTAACCGGTACAGATACCTGATGAAGCTCAATTGTCACATTAAGAAAAATATTCTTATTATCCAAGGATTGATATACTACCCAGAGAAGATGGGTAGGACAATTCACTTAGCTCTAAATATAAGCAGACAACTAGAAAACAATGACTGCTTACAAAACAGAACTAATTACATGTTAATAATAGCAAACGTCCCTAAAATCAAACAGGGAGTGTGCCTTAAAATCAACCTCAACAAACAGAGGCCATTATAGTGAGCTACTAGACCAGTTAGCTGGAATTGCGTCAGAGTAAATACCTTGATGATATGCTTCTATATTCTCAACTCAATTTGCTTCTAACTAACTGCGACTGTCCAATTAAAGGTAATGATCCAACCAATCAATCAATTATTTCAAACCAAAGAACGTTTCTATCTTACCGTGTTGATAATGTTACACTAATGGTCCACAAAGCATCAACAAAAGTATGACAGTCCAATTTGGCGAGCGACATAAAAATCGTACTAAATAAAACAAAGATAAGGTGGCTATTCGAAGATTCGACGACATCCATTAAATGATTAGGATTCAGGGTTTATAAACGATGTAGTAGTAATAATTGAAATCAATCTCAAGAATAGAAATCGGTATACAAAATACCGACAACAATATGAGAAACAGTACACGATACAAAAATACAAAAAACCAGTCACAAGAAAGAACAGATATGGAGTGATTTTCTACATATTCACATTTGAGCATGCAAAACTGGGTCTTACGCATTTTGCTTCGAGCAAAAAATTGATCACGCTGTCTTAGGCTCTAGTTTTATATTTGGCTTCACTTCAGCACCTCAGAATGCTCAACCGTGATAGATAATCAACATTACACACCTCACGAATTTAGTTAATTAATTAATTCCTCTGAATTAACATTTTGTGCAATGTTAGTAATCCGTATAAATAAAGTACTTTCAGCTATGTTTATATGATATATCATCATTAATACTGAACTTCAGACTACAACAATCAAAGTATTTATTTTCTTGATGGCGTTGAATTCCTTTGAAATTATACTTTCTAATAATAGATTACCAATATATTGCACCACCTATGGTGCCTTTTTCTCTCGCTTTATTTCTAAACGGTTATAACTATTTCTTAACATAGTAGTAAATGTAAAAGCACAAACTGATGAGTTAATAAATGTCAATTTATACTAGTTTGACCATAGCTTTTCACAGAAACCGTATGAAAAATTACTGAAGGTCTGTAACAAAACAAATGCAAATAAAGGAAATCTCTCTGTTCACATTTTCATCCCTAAATACAGTCTAGCGGCCTTGATAAAAAAATTTTTCGTATTGAGTAGAGTAGATCGTTTTGTTTTCGAGATATTTCTTAAGTAAACCAACGTTTCCTAAAGAACCATCAATAAGTAAAAGACATCTAATTTGTTGTGACTTTAATCCCGGTTAGTAATCACATGATTTATTCTCCAATCGGAACACGACTTATTCAATCTTAGTACTGTGTTAAACCAATGACGTTCGACTAGTATGAGCAGCCTAACGTTCTTATTGGTCCTTTGTTCTCCTGGCCCGTCCACTTAAGTCCAAAACACCAATAACAGCTTCCACTATGCGAATTATTAATTAAAACTATACTTGGTTTATATACATGCCAAACAGACCTCATCGCACCATAAAATAGGAAATGATATTTACACAAGATTAAGGCAAAAAGTGGTTGTGAATATGGGAGATGGTAATTAACATACTGGGTATAACTTAAGAACAGTAAATCGTATAATAATAATAATCTACAAGTTAAAATGAAGCTTATAATAAGAGGAATATAGATATACGCAATCTAATTACTGAATAGTTATACAATAAAAATATATAGATAATATTAGTTCACTAATAATTCTAAGAAGTTACTCGTACTTTATTCTTAGTTAGGATTTAAAATAATTAGTTTTAATTTACAACTTTTTAAGACTACTAATCTCAGTTTTATAATTTTGAATATTTGAGATAATGATTACATAACCTATTTGTGAATGAATGCTTTAAAATGTAAACAGGATACTCATTTATTCTTTTTTGAAGTCATTGAAAAATTCCTAATGAATTTATTTTGTGTTACATCTTAAAATATCAATGAAGTTGTGTTGACAATTTTCTTTTGATTCAAGATCATTTTTTTTTTTGAAAAAAAAGTCAATTTAATATTCAATAATGTATTTCAATTAACTGGTATAAATGAACAGATCAATACTGATCCAAGTGATTTCCAGTAAAATTTTCTACTTAAATATCAATACAAATAGAGTATTCATAATTTTTAGTTAATATATAAATTCATGTTTTGTATCCCAAAAGGAAATAAAATAGTATCTATATTATACTTATATATTCATAGTAATAGAGATCTATTTTTCTAAACAAAACCATATTTAATCAATAGAGATAATATGATAAAATATAATGAATCGTTTTCTAGGATAAATTTATTATGATAATCAAGATTTTCTACTCACCAGATGACAGATACACCTTGCTGATGAGTGTCAAAGAGCACGAAACCGGGGTCCAGAGTTTCCTGTTGAATACCTCCAACCACCATCTAATCTCATAATAGACACGTATGTCATTGATCATCACCCAGTGATCAATCAGTTGTGATAAATAATAATTTTTGAAACTGATTATCTTAATTCTGATTTAATTACCATAATAAGTTTTGCACTATGATAAACAAAATTCTTGTATTTGTTTGAAAGAGCGATATTGATTAGTTTTAAATAAACATCAAACGATCACATAGAAAAATTGATTTTCATACTTTTAATATTAAATGGACACCAGTAACAGAGAGGATTCCGTTCATGGAATATACTTAATAAAGGAGACTGACTAATTTTAGTCCTAAATATAGATTATTAAAAGAAAATGTCTTATAGTCAGTAACAGAAATAATCTTTCTATTGCTTTGACAGTTTCATCTCTTTGAGCATCAGAATAATGACTGTTTTTTATGATATATATTACAATAAAACTTTATTCAAACTGTGTTTTGTAGTCACTTCCAATTTTACCAACTTTAATTCATAGGAAGACAAACAAAGAAAAGAAACATTTCCTTCTAATTAGTTTGTCATCATAGCTCTATACTCATATCTATGTGTCTCTTAAAACAACAAAATGATACTAACAGATTAGTAGTATTAAAGAATTTATTAATATCACAAGTTTAAGTTCATTTGATATTGTTTGTTTGAATCTTCCGATCGATATTTTGGACCGCAATTGATCAATCTCTTATTGGTTTATGTTGATCCTGTGCGGATTGCTTCAATATTGCTTTAATTCACAAGTATTACAGCAAAGATGGATGGTGGCGAGCAGTGGAATCCAGGACACGCGTTTCGTCCTATTTGCTAGCCACTATCCATCTTTGCTTATAAAAGCTTTTGAATTAAAGAAATATCGAGGCCTACTCACAGTATGCACATATGCCAATAACACACTGATCAGTTGCAGTCTTGAAAACTCAATGGGAAGATACAAGCAAAACAATACCAAGTGAACACATTAGTCTTGTTCTAAATTACTTTTTAAAATATTTTACACTGTTCTTCTTAGTTTATTCTGATTGATTAAGATCAACTTAGTTAGTACGAAAAATTAATTCATTCAGTAACATACTATAAGAGTATTTCATCATATATATATATATATATATATATATATATATATATATATATATATATCTGATAAAAATCCCAATAGTTTACAATTAAGCTAAGAAATAAATTCAACAGTTTATTGATCAGTTTATTGAATATAAAGATAACAACAATATAATAATTATAGAAATAAACTTTCAATGGTTACTATAATAATATTTTAAAATGATACCCTATCAACATAGAATATTATTAGTTTTTAAGGGGTTAAAAGAAAAGTCTACAATAAATGAAACAACAAAATATACTATGGATACATTATTGAGATAAAAAAGTTATTAAATATATGTTTTTTTTTAAGAAAAGTATCAAATGGATGATTTCATTCTTTTTGAACATTGCCACTTGCTAACATCGGTATTTATATCATAACTATTGATGTTATACTGATTTCAACCTGATTTATACAATAGAATTGCACGATCTCCAAGAAAAAAGTATATGAAGGATCGTTCTTCATGGGAAACATCACTAGGATAGGATAGAAATAATGGATAAAATATGATATTGTCAACAACAACAACAAAAACGATAATAAAACTTGATACATAAAAAAATAGTGATAAGTGATTTACTCTTACCTTCCAAATCGTCGACCTACAGTACAATGCCATGATCGACCATATTTTTTATTAAATTGTGTTTTAATATAATTAGCTATATCCATATCAGCTTGAAATCGATCCATAGCACACGCTGTAACACGTATAGCTAATTCCATCCTTTCATCATTCATATCAGAATCTTTCACGATAACCTTACTGAATTGCATCTTCTAATTTGTTTATGTTTTCTTTTCTTTCTTTTGTTTTTCTTTTTTGGATCTAACAGTTCTATAATCTAAACTCACACGTTCTAAGTTTCAAATTAACTGTTAATTAATTCATTTCATAAATTAATTTTAAAGTTTCTATTTGTTTGTAAGTATTTACTTTGTAAATCATTTTGGAAAGTATCATATATCTATTTAAATTGGCATGTAATCACTAATATGAATATAGAGTTTACATTGTACCGAATTTCTTGTGTATTCATTAACTTCTCACATATACTAGACATATACATATATGCTTACACACATAACTAATATCATATATATATTCGATTAATCCACTTGTATTCACGTGAAGTTTGATGTTATACGCTTATTTATGTATACCGTTCTAATTACTTTATTCAATAGCAAATAAAGTGAAATTCGTACTTACAAAAACACTGAACAAAATTTTCAAACTAGTTTCAGTGACATTTTAATTTGGTTTTATATCATGTGTAATGAATTGAATAGATTAATTAATTCTTAAAAATTATTCTGTATCAAAGTAAATGTAAACAGAAAGATGTTGTGATAAAGTTTTGTTCTTTGAGCTGGATAGTTTGATTGTGAATCTCGTACGTTATATTAATGGATTGATCGGTAAAAAAAAACGAAACCAAATTAACAGAGATCACAACGTTCAATCTTCTTTATTATTAATAATAATAATAATAATAATAACAATAATAATGATGAAAAAGCTTAACTGTATTACTGATATTTGTATGAATTAAATCAATTACTGATCAAACATGCGTGAAATAGTTTTTTAAAATGTTTTAGATTTTAAATTTTATTGAACTGGAAATATAAAAGTTTTAAACTGATTTAAGTTTGTCATTAGTAAATAGTGTTTTCAATGTCCAGGGAGGTGATAATCTTAATTGTCATAACTACAAAGATAGATGTAAAATATTCCTAGTCAAAATAGATAATCCTTAATAATTGATCTTTAGCTAATGATTGGAAGATATCGTTTTGGTGATTACTACTTAGTTATTGTATATTGTAGATGAATAAATTGCAAAACTCATTGAATATTCACATCTGGAGAATCGTTAGCACTAAATAACATTCTGATAATAATTTCTGGTTGTATGTTATGAAATTCTTTTAACTTTTACACTATTTACTCAGTATGATACAAAGCTCTAATAGATATGTTTCAATATTCTGTAAATTATATTGTTTGCCATTATCTAGATAATGTAGGAGTTTTAGATTAGATAACAGAGTAGCAGGGTAACAAATGCTAAGTAGGACAATTTTTATAAATTTAATGATAAAAGATCGCTCTACTGAAAGTTTTGAAATCAGAGCCTATAAAAAATACAAAAGATTTACAAACCGTTTAACTTAACTAAATTCAGAGAAAACGAAAGGATAGATTAATGCTAGGTGGTTGGAGGTAGTCGACAGAAAACTTCAACAGTTGATATTCGTCAGCATGGAATTTATGAAGCTTTTAAGGAAATGATATTTCCAAGGAGAGGTATTAACGTTGATTAGTCACGGAGTATTAATCGATGTAAATTCTTGAACATCCTGTCAAAAAGTGTTAACTACCACAAAACCTAAGCCCAGCATTTTCTGCTGATTGTTTTCAATCACCAAACATTCAAAAGCACAGTGCAGGTGATGCCGATTCAATCGAACGATCAATAGAATTCGATCGTCACTATAAATTACACAAACATAACATTTGTTACTACTCGATGAATATTTAATGTAAATAACCAAATTGAAATTTCCACTTCATATTAATGTTATAGTAGGAGATTTCGATCAGGTTTACAATGAAAGATTCGGCAAATATTTTAAGTTCAGGAATGTGATTAAAGATACCAACTAGCCATTTATTATGTTAAGTATATGAAAACTATCTTCAGTTGATCATATATACTATCTACCAACATGTTGACTTTTACATGCACTCAAACAATAGTTTACACGCGTTTAAAATTTGAATAGATTCATATTTCATGATGTAATTTATCATTTTGATGGAAACCGAAAACTTCCTTCATAAATTATTACATCTCTCAAAATTACAGTTTAATCATGTTTTAATATTGAACAATTGACAGTGGGCTAATAGCAATGATAGCTACTGATTTGAACTTTAAATTCAATTATGAGCTTCATTAAAAGATGAGTATATCTTCAAATTTATCACATGTAAAGTTACCTTTGGAATACAAACAATATGATCATTGTAAGCACTAGGTCAAGCAAAAATTACTTAAACCATCGTTACAGTTAGAGGAATAAAAATTTAAATTATAATGTCTAGCTACAAGAAGATGTAGAATATAAACAAGTAATAAGATCATAAAGTAAGTCCTAATCAGGGTCTTATTAAAACGATATTATTGTAGACAACAGAAGTATATAGCTGAACTTATTAAAATTTGTTTAAATCAAATGGATACCATACTTTACTGAAGTCAATACAAGACCACTTTATAAATAAGTGAATTAAAACTTTAAGTCTACTTATCCAAGTTATTTTTGCAAAACAATTTAAAACTGAATTATTGTCTTAGACTATTTTTGTATGTACTTAGGAGAAGGACAATTGATCACTTCCTTAATTAATAATGAACTAAGTTTGCTCTAAATAACAGTATATAAAATGTTATGAGATAACGTTAAAGTTTAGATATTAAAGATCCTAATTTTCAACAAAGAAGTTTTTTCTTTTTGAAATATTCATAAGTAGATAATCAAAAAACATGTCATTTAGTGTCTATTTCTTCTTTATATAATACAATAAAAGATTATAATCTTCCATTAAGTATTATATTTAGCATGATAATCTTAATTAGCTCTTGATATATCGAATTACAGTTTAAAAAAAAAAGAGAAAAACTTATGAGTAGATTGATTGAGTTTGAGAATTCATCAAGGTTCATAATGAAGAATGCAAAAAACAAAAAAAAAACTTACTAGGACAAAATTACTTGAGACATGAAAACTAAATTATTTACGTATTTAAATAAAGGTGTTAGTTACCAAAAGCTAAACAACTACTCTAAATTATGTCATATCTACGAAAAACTTAACCAAACAATTATATTACAATTCTTTGAAATTTTATATATGACTAATTCAGTTTTAAAAATCAGATTGAAAACTTATACATGACTCAATGATAACTCTTACCTATGAATAACTAATAAAAATACTCAATTTCATTCTATTAACAAAATGATATTTCATATCATAAGAATTATTCAATCTGACTAATATTGTAGAAAATACTCTTAGTTACAGAAACATTCTTCAGGTTATAATGTTCTGATATTAGGGTTTACATTAAAAACTGAATCTATTTAAATGTTCTTAAATATCTTAGTTAAGTGACAGGAAGTTCCTGTACTATTGTATCATAGAGATTATTATCTAAGTTTGTTCATAAACTGATACCATTTTCAGAAGGGATTGTGTGGAGATTTTAGAAATTTCACTGGTTGAAATCATGAATCCATTGAAGCTAGACCACCATGGAAAACCTGGAAGCACTGGACGGCCGTTTCGTCCTAGTATGGGACTCCTCAGCAGTGCGCATCCACGATCCCGCTCCTCGCGAGATTCGAACCCAGGACCTATCAGTCTCGCGCCAGGTTTTCCATGGTGGTCTAGCTTCAATGGATTCATGATACCATTTTATTTAAAAATTCTAGCGTTTAAATTTCCTAACTATAGAAATGAGGAATTAATTTTTTTAAATTTTAGTTTAATATCATTATAGATAAACACATTGTCATCGATTGAGGACATTCAGTTCCAATGATAGAACCTTCAATTCTTAATACTTATAAATTTACTATCAAATAAATTATATACATTTTTATGTACTACTGAATGATTTGAATAGTTTAACATCATGTTAAATAACTGACAAAAGTTATTATATCACTAAAGATGAATTCTTTAATCTCAACAGAGTTTTCTTTTGCTTGAGATCATGAACCGATTGATGTTAGACCACTATTGAAAACATGGAAGCACTGGACGGCCGTTTCGACTTATTGTGGGACTTTCTTTCTAATTAGTTTGTCATCGTAGCTCTATGCTCACATCAATGTGTCTCTTAAAACAACAAAATGATACTAACAGATTAGTAGTATTAAATAATTTATTAATATCACAAGTTTAAGTTCATTTGATATTGTTTGTTTGAATCTTCCGATCGATATTTTGGGACGCGATTGATCAATCTCTTATTGGTTTATGTTCATCCTGTGCACATTGCCTCAATATTGCTTCAATTAACAAGTTTTAAAGCAAAGATGGATGGTGGCGAGCAGTGAAATACAGGACACGCGTTTCGTCCTATTTGAGACTCGTCAGTTGGATGTATCTGCATCTCAGAGTTGATATTCACTTCGGGACTCAAACCCACATCACAAGTTCTTATGAAAATAGTGTTGAATGATTAGATCGAATGGTTAGAAGAAAGATATGATTGTAATAAGTAGGCCAATCACTTGTAATAACTCAAAAATTGAATTACTTATTACCACGATCACATCCCTCTTCTTCGAATTAGTTAGTTAATCATTCAGAATTTCACTCTGTTTACATTTATAAGCAGTTATTGCCAATATGTATATAATTGAGCTTTTTTAATGTATTAAGTACATTAGCAGTCATTGTCTTCGTTTCTGATTTTATCGCTCACAGTTTAACTCATTTTTAAAATAAGGAGGAAAGAGGAAATTCCTACCTTATTTGATTAACTGCTTTTAGTTTTTAAAAATAATTTATCATCATATATTTACTGTACAGTGCTTCCACGTTTTCAGTGGTGGTCTAACATCAATCGGTTCATGATCGCAATCAAAACTTAACAATCTCCACAACCCTTATACATTGAATTTTCTTTATAAAGATACTTCCATAGATTATGAACTGTCTTATAGTATATAAATAGATAATTATGTTTAATGTGTTCTAAATGAAACATTTAAACAAATAATTAAATGATAATTTAATAAATATATTTACCTTCCATATTGTTTACCAACTATACAATGCCATGTACGTCCATATTTTCGATCAAAATGTTGTTTAATATATGTTGCTATATCTTTATCTACTTCATATTTTTCTCTTGCTGTTGCAGCTATTTGTACAGCATCTTCTTGCATAACTGGTTCCATATCAGCATTTTTTACAACAGCTTTACCATAAGCCATATTTTAATTTTAGATGTACTTTGTTTGTTTTTTTTTAATAAAAAAAGAAAAGAATCAAACTGAATATTTAAAAATTGTTTACTGTATAGTTAATGTACAAAAGAAAGACTAACTTAATAATACACTATAAATATATATATTTTAAGAAAGTAAATGAATCAAGTACATTCATTGTTTATATGTTTAGTATCATATTTGTAAAGTCAACTATTTGTGCCTATGAACATACACAAATGTAACTATGTGCAAGTAAATACATCTTTACATATATATATATATATATATATATATATATATATATATACTTGGAGTACTATTTATAATTGGATTGTATTATAGATTTGAGAAAGAACAATGTTATTGAACGATTATACACAATCATTGTTAACTTAATAGTATACAAACAACTAATACACAATGAAATTAAAACACTGATTAGTCAATATGACTATTACTTTTATCAGAATCTCAGTCACCTCTATCTCACTTGTACTTATTACCTATGGTTTATAAACTATATATTATTGTATGTTGATGTGAATGTATTAACAAAAGAGAACAGTTATTATTAGAATTTTACTAACTGTGATATTTGAAACATGTTATAGATAATATCGATTATCTAGAATGAAACTATGTTAAAGTATGTGGTTATATATGTTCGTTAAAAGATGACTTTCAATTGATTTATATCATAGTGACAGATTATAGAAATGATATTTTAATAGATTCTCGTGTTTACAAATAAAATGATATTAAGTTTTAGAAATTTGTATTCATCTAATGCTATCATTTTAGAAATGTAAGGGTCATCTCAAAATGGAAATCTGTATTACTTATTATTGTAGAACTGAAGTAGTTTAGTTGAGACACTGATAAGTTTGAGGGGAAGTAGGGTTTATTAGAATTTCTGGAAAAACAAAATCTCAATTAAACTTAGTTAAACAATAAAAATGTGTGTTTATTTAAAGTCTCAAAATTCCCTTTGATTTGATTTATTATCACAAAAACTAAACAATAATAACACAGTCAAGAGAATGGTGGATGTGTTGCTCAAATTTCGTCGATTAGTTGAAGCTAGACATTCACACCACTGAATGCTGGCTCAGTGGTCTAGTGGTTAAACGATCGCGCGCGAGACTGAAAGATCCTGGGTTAGAATCTCGCGAGGTGGGTTCGTGGATGCGCAATGCTGAGGAGTCCTAGAGTAGGACGAAGCGGTCGTCCTTTGCTTCCAGGTTTGCCATGGTAATCTAGCTTCAATTGACTCATGATCTCAACTACTAAAATTATTGTAATATTAAATTATTTACTTAAGTCAATATTGGAACACTGATCAAAACCAAGGAAATAGATCACTACTGAGTATACGATAATTAATCATAATATGAATATGAAACATTTTGTTTTATCTTTTCACAATCAATTACAATCAATTTAAACCACGTTTCAATTTAGATTATCAGCTAACATGAAAAAATATCTATTCAAATATTTAAATGCATTAGTTACAATAACCTAATCCTATATTTGAGTTAGCCAGAAAAAATGAAGCAAAGAAATCTTAATTTCGAAAATTTGCCAATTATGACGGATATAGTGTTTTAATTGTTTTTGCTTTGTTATTGATGGTATTGTAGTGTGCGCTAGTTGTGTCGACATAAATAGTGTATAACGCTAGTCAGGAATAGAATGTCTAGTAGTAGAAGATCGAGAAGGAAAAAACAGGAAAATAAAGCAATTGCTATGGAAATGCGGGAACAATGAAGTCTGATTCAATTAATGACTATTTTGTAAATGATGTATTTAATGTATTTTTCTCAGATTTTACTAAGACGTTGTGTAATTTTGTGCTGGAATACATTCGATTATCTCCACTTGTGTTCTTTCTCATTACAGTATTATTGAATAGTGTTTCACAGGAAAATCCAGGACACACTTTTTGTTATATTTGGAAGTTATCAACCGTGTTTTAGTGTTGATCTTAATTTTTTTCATTGAAAATTAGTTTATCATTTAGTGAATTAAAAGTTCATGTTATCGGATACATACTATCTATAATCTGCGGTTATGTACATTTCAGTATTCTATTAAACATTTATATCAACGGCTTTTTTTAATAGTTATATGCTTAAATAATATTATCAGAAATCATTCATTAATATAGAAGCTTTTGAGGAAATTAAAACATTTCAATAAGAAGAGGAGAGAGTACGCCTTTGAAATGCCGTCAGTTTGAAGTCTTTTTTGTCAAATAAAGACAACTAATTGTGAAATCGAACTATATAATATGATGAGAAAACTGCTTTTAAATTAAACAAAGCCTAACCAGAAAGGGCATAGCAGCGTCGATAAGTTGACAAAGGATAATTGGTTAACGACCCAAGAGAGAAGGACAGAAGGAATTTTTTAGAAAACAAGGGATTTAGATAATGATAGAAAAGATTGAACAAGTGTCTTATAAATTAACAGTTTTGGCTTCCCTATATGTTTATCTGAATCCTCAACAAGGCGAAGATGAGAAATCGCACTATACTTAGTTGTTTTTGATCTATTTTCAAGTTGATTAAGAATGATTAGTCTGTTTAGATTGGGTGACCCGTGTTTAAAAATTGTTTAGTTATTGAGCTCTTTACAGGTCAGCTGATGCTTCGTTCGACTTCTATACTACCTTTGAAACTAGCGTTCAATTTTCATTATAAGGCCTATGAATTAACAATCGATTCTGTATGCGGATCTAAATGTTCACAATCTAGGGACGTTCAATAGAACCTCTCGGTATTTAAAGTTTAACATTTTGACAAGTAAATTTGATGAAACATCTGGATAACATTTTAAAAAATGACTAAGTATTATCTTAATGTCTTGACAGGATCACTTTGATGTAGTGAACTAGTTAAATAGCTTGTCAATCTGTTTTTAAATAATCATAGATTATTAGTCCAAAATATTATGCATCCTCTAGAAATTATGCACTTAAATCCTGTCTTGTGAATCATCAAAAGTGTTTAATATTAGTGCATTTTCATGATATCGAACAATGAATAATTACTTAACAGTTATTTATGAAATTGTTATGAATGAGAACACCACTGAGGAACAACCAAACGAATTCGAATACACACAGAATATCTTGGTAAAATCTGAGAACCATAGAGTAAATACTTCATTTGCAAAATATCCACCACGTGTCTCAGACTTTGTTGTTCCTTTGTTTCCATACCAACCACTCTCTATTCTCGTTTTCTTCTCTTTGATTTTCTCAACATTCTGCCTTCAGGCATTCCACTTTCGATTGTAAATACATGCTACTTATATCTGTTGACATCAGTAGCTCATACCACAAAACAATGTACAAAAAAATTAATTTAACTTTAAAGAATAACAGTTATAACATTTAAATTGAGTCATTACTGTTAAAGTCAGTGTATCATCATTTCAGAAATATTTGCATATTCTATTTCAACAATTCCATAGATACAACCTTGGACAGTCATAATTGTAATGCAATTTGTTATTTATTCAAGTTAACCGCGTTTTTGAATCTGTAAGAAATAAGATTCTGTTTGTTTGTTGTTGTTTTTTTGTTAAAAATAATCTATTATTCATTACATTAAACATCAAAGGTCATTGCCAAAATTAATGATATGTAGTAGTTACCAGAATGAGATCTACAGAAATACCAGAAATGAGATTAATTTTAATATTTTGAACTTATATGAATAATTGTTGTTTTATGCGTCATTGGTCTGGTCGATAATTCACTGCTCCTTAATTGGCAGTCACAAGTATAACAACACTTTACCAAATAGAGCTTGGATACAGAAACATAAATTTATAGATGTAAAAACTGGACAGGAAATATCTTTTACAAATTAATTTCTAAAAATCTACCCATCAACGATTCATTTCGTTAGAAAGTACAAACATCACTTCATTAGGTACAATTTTATAGATTTATCTTATGTATTTCATATAATGAATCGTTTTTATAAAAAGCATCCCACACATTTATTCCACAGTTGTAAACAGTTTATCATCAATCGGAATTTGTTTTTCTCATACTGTTCATATATTATTCCTAGTGGTTGTCTACAACTCTTCATGAACACAGTTTTTTAGTTTCATATTCATCAAGAGTATCTGCAACTAGAATGTTATATACTTACTTACTTAATTACGCCTATTACCTCTCATGGAGGGGCACAAGCTGTTCACCCAGCATTCTCCATCCAACTTCGCCTGTAGCTCTTCTAGGTTTACTGCCGTCCCAAATCCCAGTAAAGGAGGGGGATTGGGTATGGGGTCGGCAACCCCATCCCGTAGAAAATGACCTCGCTAAAAATCACTAACCAATATGTTATATAGAAGACAGAAATTCAATAAATGTGTAAAAACTTGTTTGTATCGCAGTAATTAAACGGTTAAGATTTGTATATCAATTTCACATTTTTCAACATTTCATTCATGTGTAAAATATAACATACTTTTACATCGAAATATAATTGTCATTAAGTTAGAAAGAAAGTCATTTAATCAGTTTAAACTTCTTTTAATTATACAATTTCTGTATGAGATCATTTCAGCTTGTGACATGAAATCCAAAGTGTTTTCATGTGACCGTAGGATTAGAGTAAGAGCCGATAGGCATAAGTATCTCATGTCTGGGAATTCTCATATTTATATGATCAGTATGTGTACAGTGTACAGAGTTCACTAAAATAAAAAACTCTCTAATAATCTTTTACAGAATAATTGCATAGAATTCCGTCAATAAATAAGCATTAAACTAATATGTGTAAAATTAGGTATCACATTTTGATTTTACGTTACCGGATGCTATACGTAGGAGGCTTTGAGGTCAGAGTTTATGCTACCTAGTGCTCACTAACAGAGTACAACTGCAGGTTTGAATAAATTGTTAACATTTTGTGTGGTGCAAACTTGAGTCACCAAATAAAACTATCAGTGATATTGCTATTCAGGAATCAACATCTTCCCTATATAACAGAAACGTCTATGTATCAACTAGATAATGAGTAGTAGGCAATGTCATGTTATTTAACCCATTAGAGCTGAACAAATTCCATCTAATGAATTGTACAGTGGCCACTAGGCTAAATGGCTTGATTACTTAACTGGGATCTGAAAGAGAAGAGGTAGTGGTAAAAAGCTCTTATATTAATTGCCACTGTATATTACGTAACATATTATCTGAAAGACGCTTTTTATAGGCTACATAATAGTGTTTTGTGAATGAATGTCAGAGATTAATAGTAAACAATTAGAAGCGTTATAAGTGGTGAGAATTTAGCAATAAACATGTATACTTATAATGTTTACAGAACACGAGCCAATTTATTCAAGCGTTTATACAAAAAGAAGAGGTAATATTTAAAATATTCGTGATTGATAAACCATTTTAATTGAAAATCAATGGCAGAGTCACTAGTAACATGAAGTGTAAGATGCACGTTAGACATAATTTCCTATTTGACATCATTTTAACGTACATCATTAACAATCATAAATGTTGTAAGCACACAATTGCCACTATTAAGTTATGTATGATAAATGTAGTCAGATAAACTTCATAAATACACAGTTAAGTATGCTTTACAATTGTGTATATCACATCTTTATCATAGATGTTACGTCAAACAGTTTGTTCATGAGACTTCAGCTTGATATTTTACAATACATTAACTTTTATTATAAATTGACTCCCACTGTTACAGTTTAGGATTACAAGATGTTGAGAGGTTGCATAATACGTCTAATTTCTGAAAGATGCTCGATTTTAATAAGATGACATTAATGTAATTGATATATTCCAAACAAGCTATTGCATCATACACGGATATATAATTGATTTTCTAGGTTTCTTGCTAGCCACACTAAGTTACTATATGTTTTTTAGTAAAACCAAATGCTTGAAATTAATTTAAGATCCAGTAGATTTTGATAGAATGACTGAAACGCTGACTTTACGAAGAGCCATAACGAATAGTTTGGACAATCCCAGTCCAGTTACAAAATTTATAGTAGTATTGATAACTAGTAAGAATCAAGTAAAAGTGTGATGTACGCCAGTTATGTTGACGGATATATGTAGTATGTAACACCAATCAGGAGCGGAATGTCTGTCAGAAAATGGTTAAGAAGACTGAAGTGAAGAAAACAGAAATGGAAACATAAAGGAATTGAGAATTGGAAGAATCATGAAGGATGTAAAGGACAAATGATGGAAAATTTCCAAATGAAGTATCTAATGTATGTCTTTCACATTTTACAAATGAACTTTGTAATTATGCGTTAAACAATAAATTGGTTATCTCCACCAATTCTTCGTTCACTACAAAAGCACTGAATAAAACACAAAATATTTGCTGCGATAAGTTCCTCTTCGTATAAAGTTTTGGTTGATTTTCTAATCGACCTATATATAGAGATTTTTGAACCAATCTAATTTTTTTGTGTTCATTATTACAATTATAAAATGAATTGTATGATTAAGGTCAAGTAAGCTATTTACCTGGTGTAATCTAAAGGATTCGTAATGTAGGCTTGTTATGGAGTGAGAGTATAAATTAGCTAGATGAAGGGAAGTTTTTTTAGTAGGTCTATTCATAAGAGTTTGGATTTCGATGTAATTTAGATCAACCTTCATTGAGATAGGTACACCTTAATTAGGCTAATCCAAAATTGCTTTAGATTATCGATGAACAACATTGTTATGCAGTTACATTTAGATGATAAGTTCTAAATAGGATAATATGTGCATGATAGGTTTCACTACCACTTACAATACAAATTTGTTAGGAATTACGGTATTAACTGATTGACAGTCCCCATAGTTTCACTAATAGACAGAGATATGATCGTTGGTGTAAGCGTTTGTAGGGTAATGTCGGAAGAGAAAATTTTCAATATATCAATATGTACACAATGATACTGAATTGGTTTAGCTGATAAATTGTGACAGATTGTTTAAGTATACCGAAAATTTACGTGTAAAAATAGTCAAATTAAGAAATTTTCACCCTTAATATTGAGTTACACTTGTTGTAATGAAATCGCAAAATTCAATAATATTTTCTTCATTCTTAAGTATTTTTGCGCTGCAATATAGAACTGATTTCATTTCTATTTAGTATTTTTACTTCATTTACCGGACTCTTAAAAATTATATTTTTATCACTTAAACAAGATCATTCATTGTCATTTATTCAAATGGTTTGAATTATTTTTTCTGGTTAGCGTTTTTTTTAGCGAGTTAGTTTTCTACGGAATGGAGTCGCTAACCCCATACCCAATCGTCCTCCTTTACTCGCACTTGGGACCGGCAGTAACTCTAGAAGAGCTACAGGCGGAGAATGCTGGTGAGCAGCCTATGCTCCTTCACGAGGAGTAACGGGCTTAAGTAAGTAAGTAAATAAATAAATAATTGGTTCAAAACTGGTACTTACAGAATTATTAACGTAGCAATCATTTTAGTATACTTGCGAAACAATTTAAAATATATTATTTTTTCTGATTCATGAATGAATTATTATTCAAAATAATTCATAATGGATTAGAAACTTATTGAAAGATAATATCTTATTTCTACAGGATTACAAATATAGTTACCATGACAATAAAAAATTTTTTTATCAATAATAACATATGCAATTCTTATAAAATTGAACATAGAATCATTCGTATTACAATTGACAACTAATTTAAATCATGAGAATTTTATCAAAGCATATGATATATCATGTTTATAATTATAAAGTGAACTAAATAAGTGAAATGATAAAATTTTTCTTATTTTTTCACTATAATCTATTTTATTGTAATGGGATTATTTTTAAATGTTTTAATATATTGATGGGATAAAATTTAGATATTATTATAATGAAAGAAAAAAAAAAAGAAACCCAGGTTAAATTGTCAGTGTTTACATGATTTACACGATAGTATTTTATATATGTGTATACACTTGACATTTGAACATTTTCACTGTCGAGTATTCTGTATGTTAATCATACACATGATTAAGATCATGATGAAAAAAAAAATTAGAAAAAATAAAAAAATGAAAATTCGTTATCAATACACATTACTTTAAAATGAAAGAAATATGTAAAATACATTTTGTTGTTCATCCGTTTTCTTACATGAAATGGAATAAAACATTTTATTAAATAACTATGAAGATTTAAGTATGTTGTGACCATTTACTTCATATTCATTATGATGTTCCTTTAGTATATTCGAATGACTATCAATGATATGTCGGTTAATTATACATGCAATATATATATATATATATATATATATATATATATATATATATATATATATATATATATACTTAGCACTGATTTGGAAATTTAACTTAATATATATCATACAAATAAACGTTTTATTAATTTAACAATATGGCATTTTTGAACGCTGTTATTAAAGATTCTGATATGGATCAGTATATGCAAGAAGAGGCTTTGAATGTAGCAGCAGATGGAATGGATAGACATGATATAGATAAAGATATGGCTTCACATTTGAAACAATATTTTAATTTAAAATATGGAAGAACATGGCATTGTATTGTTGGAAAACAGTTTGGAAGGTATATTAATTTAAGAAGAATTTAATTAAAATTTTGCTTGTAAAGAATAATATATTAGTTTTTCTAATGATAATCTTTTAGTGATAATTTTAAGTATGTTCATTTATTTTAATAAATTCTCAAGTAATATCACCGTTTTAATTATAAAAGTAAGTTAATCTAGTTAATTGTTATATATCCTATTTTGGTATTTGTGGACTTATTAAGCTCGCAGTTGTGCATGAAGAGCACAATTGAACTGTTAGCATAAATTAACGATAAGCTCTATCAAATGAGAACACCTATAGGTGTAAACAAAAAGGAAAGACTTATGAACCTTCTCAGTTTGATGAACTTTCAATAGATGTATTGGCAGCTATTTATTATGCAATCTAAACAAGAAAAACAGTTTTCAGGCTTGTTTAATCCAGATTATAACATAATCTGGATATCGTATGACACCAATCAACTTAAATATTTATATAAAACAAATTAAAAATATCTTATTAATATCTTGGATAAAATATAAAATCCTATCATATTTTCAACTTCATCATATTGCCCACTCACTTTTTAATAGACTGTTGAAAAGATCAATAAAATTTGTTAAAACGGTGTTCCCATGTTTTTCATGGTGGTCTAGCTTCAATTGACTCATAATATCAACTATTGAAATTACTATAATATCCACAAAATCCCTTCTAACACCAATGTCATAAACCTTTAATGGAAAGTTTTGTTGAATTCTAACTAAAATATTTTTAAATATGTCTGTGCATAGAGTAGTAACCAACATGTATGTTTTGTTTAGTTCTTAATAGTGAATAAGTTTTATCAGTCAAGCTGCAATGCGCCCAGTAGTCCTAATAGATTTATATCTCACCAAATATGTTTCTATGTTAGGTGATTGAAGGCAACTGGGAGGAGACTATGAGCCCACATTTTATAGTTAGTCGTGACTCAAGTAACCCAATAGTTACATATTTGACTATGAAAACCAGTAGTTCAGGCTGAATTTATACGGATAGCAATAGCTTCATCAAGGTTGTAGATGCCTCTTGTAGACGAGGGTCGACTAGCATGAAATGTAGGCTCAAGACCTGTAGCTAATTAACACCGAAAACCTAGCAGAAGAACCAATTAATCATCTGCGGTTGATTTTAGTCTGGCACATTTTTAAAAAATGGTATTTTTGATCAATTTATTATGAAAAACATCCAGTTAGTAGACTTCCTCAACTTTTATTTCATTTGTGCCGAATTAGACGTTAATGATATTGTTTAAAATAACATTTAAAAATCCCCAGTTAAACCATCCGATATGAGCAACTCAACAAAACCCAAATCATCTGTCTGAGATAAAACATTTTCTCGAGATTTTATGATACATTTGCCGATAGATCCTTACTATATCTTGCAAACAAAACGAATATTAATTAAGTGATAAAAATTCGAAAGTTTGATGACTCGTTATTGACTCTGTTCATGATGACCATGATAAAACCTGATTTCTTAAATGTTTTAGTATATTTTACTCAGAGTAATCCAGTGTGTATTATGTTTTGTCGTATTAATTCACAATACGATTCAATTGCAAATGGATTATTACAAACGACAACAATTTTGTTGAAATTCCTTGTATTCAGTTATGGTACTTGTTATAACTTGTCAGTTGAATGCTACATGTTATATCTGGTCGTCGCTTATTGTTGTGTCGGAAACGCTTATCACTTATACTCAAAACGAGGAACCTCAGCAATTCCCACGACGCGAAAGTAAAAACACAAAGACTGGTTTAAGTGAAGATTTATTGACCCCAAAATACGACGACAACGATCTAGTTGAATGCACAGTCATGTATATATTGATTGTACACCCATTCTGATTAATAATTAAAATTAAATCAGAGTTATAACAAATCAAATACTGCGCATAGTTCATGTCAATGAAATACAAGAATATTGTATATTATACAGAATAAAATATCATACGAGAAAAGAAAACCGAATACTACACTGAATAATTATCACACTGAATCAGAACGGAAGTAATGTCGAACTAAACTCATAATGAGTGAATCAATCGAAAATTGACTTTTCTTTCCATCATATGAGTACTAATTCAATAATTCTGAATTATAGGACTGTATCTATGTTTTATAGGTGTGTAAAATAGTGTTGTAATTGCAATTTATGTATATCAAGTTTTTGTACATTTTTGTACAATAATAACTAAGTTAACGTGTTATTGAAATAAAGACTTAAATCAGTCATCAATAAAACGTATTGCACAGCAAAGGTCATTATAAATAAATGCTCCTAACAAGTATATGTGTGATCAGATTGTTCCAAATGTATTGTGTTAGTATATCACATAGTTCTGATAATCTTCGTCTTCTTATTACATTATTGAAATTTATCAAATGGACTAATTGCTTTCAACAATAATAAGCTAAAATTAGAATTTTTTATTTCACAAAATATCTTTCTACAAACTTTCATATGAATCAATAAATTTTTGATTTTAATATTTGAAAATTGATCAAGATTCTCTTCTTATCTGAACAATAATTTGATAATTTTGTACAATGTATCAAGAAATAATCAATAATTAATTTAATCGATTTCTTATTTTTGATTAATTTTTTTTCTTCAAATTATAGTGATGTTTCACATGAAGAACAAGGTTTTTTATATTTTTTCCTTGGAGACAGATCATTTCTTCTATTTAAATCAGGTTAATGAGAATTATTCTATTCAACCATTATTATTATTACTGTTTATGGTATTATTAAAAGTAATTGTACTCACATTAAAAACAAATGAAAACACTGTAAATGAAATATTTTTATTGGATATGCAAAATTCATAATGAAAAAAAAAACAGATTGTTGAACCGTATAATTTTAATTTTTTTACTGTATTATGAATGTACTTTCATTTGCTGAAGGTAGTTGCATTTTGAAAATAACATTCAAATGTTTAACAGAATAGATGGATTGTAGCTAGAAATGGAATTCAGGATACATATCTTTTCCCAAGTTATGAATCATCAGTTATATGTATTTGCATCCTGGTTTTCATGTTCCGACCGGGACTCAAACACTATATCTTTCGCTTTAAACATCAACGCACTATCCACTGACCTATTCAACTCAGATTGCTAATAACTTATTCAGCGGATATTATATTTTTTATTATTAGTTAGGGGGAGATGTGTTTTTTTACCTTCAAACTATTTACTTGAGACCGATTTTCGAGTGAAAACTTAAAAAGATAGCACTTATTAATTACCGAAAAGTTATTTCGATTTCTTAGATAATCGTGAATAATACGGATGTAGTAACATTGGAAAGTATCAAATGAAAAGATTCATTGTGAAAATAACTGAACAGTAAGATATTCTATAAGTAGCACTCAATAAAATGAACTAATATCCCTTTATAATAAACCCCAAAAGAATTCACCCTTCGTAAATTAAAATCTTTATTTAGTGCATGTTCTTTGCAATGACTAGTGAATTTGCTAAGCCTAATATACCTTTCGTTAGTCCTCTCAAAATCCTTAACTCATTATTTTATGTAGTGTACCTTTCGAATTCAATTAATATAGCATCAAAATGCTAACAAAAAATTATTATATTAGGACATTTTATACTGGATAACCCCATCCTATAAAAGACACAATTCAAGTAGGCTCATTTACTAATGTTACTCATGAATAATGGTTTAAATATCTTCCAAATGAAGAACAAAGTCAATAAATCATATCATTTTCATTTTGGAAAGGACAGGAGGCTTGATGGCCTGTGTTAGTCTTGGCAATGGTGGTCTCTTAGTTGATGCAACTTTCTTTTGAAAGAGTCGAGTGCTGAGGTAATGAATTCTACTCGGTGATGATTCGATGGGAAAGTCGATAGTCAGCTGACGAGTAATTTTTCCTAGGTTTGTGAACTTTTTTGGAGTGTTCTCGTAAATTCTCTGTTTTGGAAGACAAGAAAAATGAGGGCATATCAGGTACCAACTTATCACTAAGCAATTTGAAAACTGTAATCAAGTCTCCTCTAGTTGTTCAATATCACAGAAAATTTTGCAGTAGTCAAAGACAAAACATTATCTGTATTAAATTGAGAAATAAAAAAATGTATAGACCGGGATCAGTCCATGAAGTAAACTATGAAAATTCAATGATCTCTACAACTGCCCATATTGACATTATTATCATTAAAAATTACATAAGTGTATGAATAGTCACTTTAGGTATGTTGATGGTAAAGGTACGAAGAGAAATAAACGAAAGTTAGAAAACAATCATAAATATCACCTGTTAGCTTTCCTTTAACTTAGAAATCGGAAGCGATAGAATAAAATATTTCTGAACTAAAAGTTTGGCTTTCTTACTCCAAATCTTTGCAATCTCCGTTATATGTAATAGACGAGAACAAACCCCATTCAGAAAATTTGAAGAATTTTTAAAAATAACTCTGAATGCTTTATTCCTTCCTAATACCCTACCACTATCGGCCAAATGGGGTGAACAGGAGCTGTATATTGATTTCGTCTGACCCTTTTCAAACTATGAAGTGAGACACTTGCTAGTTCGTTAGTTGTGTTGTCTATTCGTGCCTAAGATATATTTTCTCCACAGGAGCAGCAGAAACGATTAATATATACTGATGTAACGAAGTGCAGTAATTGATTCTTCAGTTAGAGAAACCCTATTAGTCGAATAAAAAATTAATAACATGGATCAGCTGCATTAAGAGTTCTTTTCACCAATCTAGTTCATCTATCTCGTAGCAAATCACCAACTATGGTGCCATCGAATCGTAGCTTCAAGAAGAAAAGTGTCTCACGAATAGTTTGTGTCTCCATCTTTCTGTTTATTGTACTTTTACAAAATGTCTTCGAGGCAAACCTTTCCAAATAGCGTTTGCATAAACTTTAGTTTTGTTTAGAATGTCTTCTGAGTATATCTTTCCAGTTCTGGTTGTAAGGCATCTAAAAAGATTTTTCTTGTAAAGAATGGCTACGGGGCAAGAAATAATGTACCGACTGTGGTTCAGATGAACTTTTTCAATATGTACTTCTACTAATAGTCCCATCTTTTAGAATACGCAGAATATGGAGGAATTGCAAAAATAGTATCTAATTACTACTATTATGATTATCATGATTACCTCGATTAATAAGATGAAAAACTCCTACTATGCATTTTACTGAAACGACTTTTTTATTTTGTTATATTACTATTATACCAATTATAACTTGATACTATTACAAATCATTCTGACCTTTATTAAATGACCTTATTGATATATAAGTAACACAATTTTGAGGTATTTATGTTGTAACAAATTCAAATGTTCACCATTTTTAACATATAACATTGTCAAATTCATTAATAGCTACCTTATTTTAGCCTTCGTAAAATATCACAATAATTATGGACTTATAAAGCCGGATGATATAGTTATGGAAAACAATTGTTCGCTCAAATATTCTTTATTTTCGATGATTAATTCTTCACAAATGAACATGATTGCTTAGTGTATATTGTTGAATTGATTTAACAGTTATCATTTTTAACATTCGATTAGGCGTTAATAAATATGTCACTGATAAAACTGTAGTATATCAATAACTTCCTTAAGATGCTCGTTTATTAATTTTATAAGAATTTCAATGGTTGAGATCACGAGTCAATTGAAGCTAGATCACAATGAAAAACCTGGAAGCACTGGACAACCGTTTCGTCTTATTGTGGGACTCCTTAGCATTGCACATCCACGATCCCACCTCGCGAGATTCCAACCCAGAACCTATTCGTCTCACACGCAATCGCTTAACCATTAGACCACTGAGCTGGCATCCAGCGGTGTTAATGTCTAGCTTCAACTAATCTATGAAATTGAGTGACACATCCACCATTATCTTCAGTGAGTTACTATCTCACAACAGACCTGGTTGAAATCCACTGGTCACTGCCTCTTATTAGAACTCCAGGAAACACCTCTTGAAGCCAGTCACTAGTGAGCATATGTTGATTAATATCAGACGGGGTTTTATGGATATTATAGTAATTTCAATGGTTGAGATCATGAGTCAGTTGAAGCTGAAGAGTCCCCCAATAGGACGAAACGGCCGTCCAGTGCTTCCATGTTTTCCATGATGGTCTAGTTTCAATTGACTCATGATTTCAACCATTGAAATTACTATAATATCCACAAAACCCCTTCTGATATTAATTTTATTTGAATTTGTATTGTATTGTTTTTTTTTCTTTTATAAATTATGATCAGTTATTTAATCCTTATTTTATGATTATCATTGATTTCATAAATTTATTGAATTGATCTAATATTTTCTAAATATACACGTAAATATTATAATGAATCAGAGGAAAGTCTAATGAAGATCTATCAATAAACAATACTATTCATCAATATATATTGTTCTCATTTATGTAAATTAAAATAAATAATATTTAATATTACCAAAAATTGTCATTCTCTAAATTGCAGTAAATTCATGGACTTAATCTATTCTAATTACTTCTATGTTGATTACAGAATTAATTTATCATTATTAAGTTTATCTTATAAAAAGAGATTTTGAGCTTAAACTGTTATTGTTATTATCATCATTATCGTTAATGTGACTATCATTATCATTATTATTATTATTATTATTATTATTATTAATATTATTATTATTATCTTAGTATTAAAGTTCATTAAAGTAAGTATTTTGAATTTGTTTTATTAAATGAAAAGATGTTTTATGTGAATAACTAAGTAATAATACTATCAGTTTCATTATTCAATAATTAAATGCCAGTAATTTTGCTTATATGTTAAAACATTGACCTTTTTAATAAATATAAAGAAAATAAACTAAATTGGTATTTGTTATTTTCAAAATTTAGTTTTGTTTGTTTGTTGGTCCAGGGGTAGATAGGTAGGTAAGTAGGTAGGTAGGCAGGTAGGTAGTAGCAGTAGTAATAGTAGTAATGCAAATGAATACATGTTTATATTTATTTTGAGTTTGTCGGTTTTCACTTAGAAGACATTTTTTTTGTTTATACGACCTTGAAAAATGTGAACCATCAATGTTTATTAATGTAAGCAGAGAATTCACCATTAGGTTTTACTTATTTATAGTGGAATTTTTCAGAACTAATATAAGAAAATAGGTATATTATTTATAAATAAATATAAATACGGTTGTAGTGTATAAGCAAATTATCGAGAAGAGAATTTTCTTCGCTAAATTGCCTCCTTTCTTACTATATAAATATATTTTCAAATAATAAATATTAATTTTAATGGTTAAGATCATGAGCCAATTGAAGCTAAACGGTTGTCCAGTGCTTCCATGTTTTCCATGATGGTCTAGCTTCAGTTGACTCATAATCTCAACCATTGAAATTACTATAATATCTACAAAACCCCTTCTGATACTAATAAATATTACTGATAACTATGAAGCTAAGTTGTGATGAGAATTAAGGATAATATCATATTATCGCTGATCATTTTGATATAAAAAAATGGTTTGGTGAAATATTTCAGTTATATTTTCAACATTAAGAGTGATCAAATAAACAGTTTTCTAGCATCTTCCTAAGTTTATTCATTGAAAAGACTACCATTCATGGGAGATCTATTAGCGACGTCCTAACGACCTTGAGAATGTCCACCTAGTTACTACGGCTAAATGAGGGCTATGAAACAGTGTGAAGAATAAGGATTATGAGTTATGGTTCATGGTTAGGGTTGGGAATTAAATTTATGATTTTCATCACGAATTGACATCAGCTCAAATACCAAAACACTATTTAGTCAAATAGATTAACGAATTTCGCACCGAA